CTCTTGCTCAGGCTGGTTTCAAACTCCTGAGCTCAAACAATCCGCCCGCCTTGGCCTCCCAGAGAGCTAGGATTACAGGCGTGAGCCACCGCGCCCAGCCTGTAACAGTGGTTTTTAAAAAAAAAATCTAAACTATACACACATTTTAGTAATACAGTAAATTTGCAGTTAAAATTTTAAAAGGAAGCATTAAATCAATTTTTATATAATTCCCTAAAATAATGAATAAACAAAGTCTGAACAGATCAGCTTACTAATGTAATATGGATATATCTGAATATTCCAAATGATACAAAATAAGGTTTTAAAATATACTAAGGGGAAAGAAACAAATACACACATGTATCTGCTAGGAAAGGTTACAATACAACAGTTTAAAGAGTCAAATTCCAAAATAAACAGGAACAAACTAAAAATGAAAAGATGTAAAAAGGCACAACTTTAAAATATTTTCGTAAAAATAAATATACATAATGTGACAAAGAAGTTTAGGAAAGTCGTAGCTGAAAACAGGTATGAAAGAACTGTATTTTCTATGTTAATAATTCAAAGATCATCTGTCTCAAAGATTTTTCAAAAAACTAAAATATAAAATCACAATGAAAAGGATTTTAAAATTACAGGTCTCTCAAACTCCTGGCCTCAAGAAATTCTCTCACCTCAGCCTCCCAAAGTGCTGGGATTACATGAGCCACCTGGTCTCTTTTTAAAGCTGTCACAAGCCCAACATTAAAATGCCTTCTTCTCAGACTCAAATCTTCTCCTAGAGCAACTTGTGCCTTAAAAGGAATCATGGATATATATCTAAGTGGTTCAACTTCTTCAAGGATTAAAGAATATTAAATGTCAAGTTCCATACCCTCAGAAAGGAGGACTGAACTATAACTATGAGATCTTAAGGCCTATACTTTATACGAACTACTGTCTGTGCATTAACAAAGTTATTGAAAACAGTATTAGGTTATTAAGTATGAAATGTCCCATTTCCTCAAGTACTAAGTTTGACAGTTGATATCTCTGACATTTCACTTTGACACTTCCTGTTTTATTACTGTAAAGGTACATCCTCAGTCTTTCAAACGCATGGCTTGGTTTGTGACTATCTTTCAAATATTTTTTCTAGAGCAATTTTTGTGAAACCATGGATAAGCCAAAAATGTGAGTTATTTTCAAATATGAGTTCCATCATGGAACCAATGCAGTGCAGACAGCTCAAAATATCAACAAAATATTTGGGAAGGATGTGGCTAATGAATACACAGTACATCCCTGATTTGAAAAGTTCCCTACTGGTGACTTTAATCTTAAAAATGAGCCACGCGGGCTACCTGAGACCAAGGTGGATAATGATCAGCTGAAAGGTGTAGTGGAAACAAATCCATCTCTACCTATGTGTGAATTAGCAGCAAGTTTGATGTTACCATTCCAACAATTATTGGACCGTTTGAAACAAATGGGCAAGGTTAAGAAGCTGGATAGATGGGTTCCATGTGAATTAAACGAACGTCAGAAGAGAAATCGCCTTGAAGCTTGCCTTTCTTTGCTGTCATAACATAAAGGCAAACCATTTCTACACCATATTGTTACATGTGATGAAAAATGCATCCTTTTTGACAATCCCAAGTATTCAGCACGATGGCTGGATAAAGATGAAGTGCCAAAACACAGTCCCAAGAATGGAAAGACAAGCGCCACATGTACTCACCATCAAATTGGTATTAACTGATCAACACATAAGTGCACATATAAGAATAACATCTATTGGATGCTGGGCAGGGGGGA